ACACCTAATAGACTCGGGATTGCTGGAACCTACCTCCTCCGTGAGATCAATGTCAGGGAAAGTAGACTGTGACAAACTTGATATGCTGTTAAAAATCCTTGCAATGAAAGGCGTCTTGGAATGTTCTGTTTCTTTATCCTCAATACCTGGCCATTCAGCTTCAACAAGGAGAGGCCTACTGATGTTATTAAATGGTGGCAGTTCCTGAATCTCAGCCTCCTCCTCAACGATCTCATAATATTCCAGTGGAGGCTCCATCATATGGTAGACAAATGTATAAACAAGAATTACAGACACCCATTGGGCAAAAGAGACATAGGCATAACCAGTTCTTTGGCAGTCAGGTCCAAACGGGTTATGTGAAGTGTGGCAAACTGACCCAACAATGGCAAGTGGGAGGTTCCCAGTGTTTCCAAATGCAGTCATGATAATAGTGAACCGAAAGAACTGAGGTGGTGGTCGGCATATAATTGCCACAAAGTACCCCAATATGCAACCGATGAATGTGCTGAGCAACACGTTCACGGGGATGAACCACCAGTCTGCGACATTTTTCAGGGTTATCGACTGACCAAGGTGGATGAAAATAAGGCAAGGCAAAAACAGAGCAAACACGAGCTTGCTAAGGAGACGGAAAGTTGCTCTTGGGACGATTTGGGTTCTTGGGTATGCGAGAATTAGGCCTATAACGGTGACGCATAGAAGTTTCATCAAGGGTATAACAGCACTTAGCAGATCTTCTCCAGGAGACGTTATCTTACTATCGACCGATGCTATAGAGAGTCCCGACATCCTCTTTAGGAGGTTCAAAACAAGATTTGCACACAGAATCAAACAAAAAGATTCAAAACTGCAAGAAACCCAATTAAGACCGAGATTCGTTGACCACCATCAACAGATTATCCAAAACCCAGATGTCCAATCGGGAGGCCTACGACATGGGTTCTACAGATCTTCACAAATTATAATGAAATCGACGAAAAAGGGTCGGTATAAAAGAATATATTTTGAGGCTCCTCCTAATCAATGAAACAACTTGCGGAGGTTTTGCCTATCAAATGAAACAAGCTTCAGAGCTTTTTTGGAATACAATCAATAGGAAAACAAAGAAAAGAAAAAAAAATACAAACTAAAGATGGTAAATCTAAAGTTCTACCGTAGATGCTACACTGGTTTGAGGACTTACAACAAAGGCACAAGAGATTTTTGCAGGAATCACAGTCAAAGTTGAAATTAAAAATTAAAGAGAGAGAGATAGGAAGAGAACTTACAAAACAGAGGAACCCAGAACTTAGAAGAGAGAAAGGGATGAGTTTCACAGGCAAGCTGCCTTTCGTGGAGATATTGGAGCGATTTCAGAACTCCTTCTAAGAGGAACCGACTTCAGCAGTCACATAATTTCACAGTAAAACAGCCGCCTTGCAATTTTGCTTTTTTGGAGAGTAACCATACCTTAGCGGTGTTCCAGTAGAAAGAGTCTTTTTCATAAGATGAACACGTGTCATATGCAAAGATATCAAACTAGTATTTAGTGGATCCCACGTAAGTATAAACATAACGAGTAAGAGATTATGACCAAGACTGTCTCTGAACGATACATGATACAAAGATAAACGACGAATCGGATGGTTGACAATGAGTTAAGGTTGCTGAGATTTTTATGGTGTGTGCATCTCCCCATCAGGATTCGTTCAGTCTTCAATTGTGGGCCCAGTGCTTCCCTGATGGTTTATACAGCAATGATAGTAATTATATACAACCTGTAGTTTGCGTATTATCAAAACACCCCTCTATTTTGCACACTTTTTAACGTTTGTGTATCCGTTAGTGTCAATTGGATCGGATTTGCTCTAATCCGATTCGATCCGATATGAGTAAGGGAACAGATCCAATCCCATCCAATCTAATAAATACTTTCCTCTGTTAAGTCTGGACTAATTCAATTATTATTTATTATTGATTCATCCAATCCATCCAAAATGATTTTGAGTTGGACAGGTCCGGCCCAAAACCAGTTAATTAACACCCCCTACCCAGTACCCATTAGGAAAGAATTGGATCTCCTACCAACAAAAATCCTAATTAAATGTTGCAACATTACACACTCCACACCACGAGTCTGGGTCTCCTGAGCTCCATAATTAGTTCCACCACCCTGAGTTCGGCTTCTATCAGGGCAACATCCGTTCGACCAATTTTTATAACCTTGAATTGGGAATATTTTCATATTTATGTATTTTTATGGAGAAATATTCCCGAGTTACAAAAGGCTGTTGGTATAGTGTGAATATAGGTTTGCCCTGATCAAAGCCGATTATGGTGGGTCCCATCTTTATGGTGATGTTGGTGTCAGTTATGATGGCAGGATGGTGGAATGTGTTTTGTGGGCAAGGGATCCCATTTGGCACATCACATGCATGCCAGATCTTGTTGGAATGTGGTTGGGAGGGATTTTTGTTGGCAGGAGATCCAAAACTCATTTCGAAATGGTTTTTACTCCAAAAATTCCCTTAAAAAAAGTCCCATACCACCCTAGTTATTTTATTCCAAAAATAACTCCCTTCCCATATTTTTTTTTCATTCCAAGAATAAAACAAAAAGCAATGGGGAAAAACAAACAATGAAAATAAAGAAATATAATACAAAAAATAAAATGGACAATAATAGAAAAAAATATTGGTTATTTTATTTTATTTTCTATTATCTTGCTTTGTTTTCTCTTTAATTTATTATTTTTTGATATTTTACACATTATTATCTATTTTATTTTTATTTTTTATTCTATGTTATTTCAAATCAACATTTAGGTTATTACTTTTCTTTTAATTATTTTGGTCGAACCTGAAGAAGTTGCAAATTAGAGGGAGAGTCTTAGTAATATACAAACTATAAGATTGGTTTTAGTAATTATAAGATATTATAGAGGATGTTTTAGCAAATGACCCTTTTTTAATGAAACATCTTTTTAGCAAAAAAGAAAATCATTTGTAGCCTTGTCCACCTTGGAAACTTCTAGGTTTGGGCTCGGCCACAGGCCCAAACTTGGCTTGCAGATAGCACCAGATTCAGTTATGGATACCAAAAAGGCATGATATATTTTATATTTAAATTCATAGGCATAGAGAGCACATGCCCACACTTATATTTCAATCACAAGGTCTAGCCATGTTTGGGAAATAAGTGTTTATTTTAAAAGCAAGGTCTTATTTTTTAAGCCCAAATTTTCAGCTTTTTTAAGTGCTTATACAATAAGCAGGTTATTCAATTTTTTTCTTCTAAAATTATCCTAATTGAATTTTAAAATACCACTTATAAAATTATCAATAGTTGAAGTTTGTAAAAGTACTTTTATAAAAGCACTTTTACGAAAGTACTTTTATGAAAGTACTTTTACGAAAGTACTTGTACGAAAGTACATTTACGAAAGCACTTTTGTGAGAGTACTTTTGTGAAAGCACTTTTATAAAAGTACTTTTATGAATGCGCTTTTGCAAAAATACCTTTACAAAAGCACTTTTGTGAAAGCCCTTTTACAAAAGTACTTTTATGGAAGCACTTTTGTGAAAACACTTGCGCTAGTACTTTTACGAAAGTACTTTTATGAAAGAACTTTTACAAAAGTACTTTTATGAAAAGACTTTTATGAAAACACTTTTATGAAAGTACTTTTGTAAAAATGCTTTCATAAAAGTACTTTCTTAAATATACTTTTATAAAAGTGCTTTTGTAAAAGTTTTCATAAATGTACTTTCTTAAAAGTGCTTTTAAAAGGTATATTTTGAAAATTTGAAAGAAAATGAAGGACAAAATAGTCACAAATGCTTATTTAAGTGTTTATTAGAGAAAAAGACTACCAAATTCCCAATATAAAATGAGTGCTTATTTTAACTCTTGAAAAAGTAGGGTATCAAATACAAATAAGTGCTTATTGAATAAGCACTTGTTTTTAAGCACTTATTTTTAACTTAGGCACTCCCAAACATGGGCTATTTCGATTCCAACTGTTCGGTTGGGTGGAATCGGAATTTCATTCTCATTCATGTTGGAATGACATTCCCCCATTTGAGGGAATGACCATTCCCTGCCCCTCCTTTGGAAATGAAATACCATTTCTACTGATTTTAATTCTCATTCCCATTCCTGTCTGAACCAAACAAACTATAGAAATGGATCATTCCCATTCCAATTCTAAAAAATTTCGATTCCAATTCCAACCAAAAATCATACGGACCCAAAAAATAAAAGTAACAAATGTGTCTGACTAAAGTAGCAAATGTGTTGCAGAGAATAGATAGTCGAAGCACATGAAAATACTACAATACCTGACGTGTGTGCATGTGTCTTAAATGTGTGCCTTTGATGGGTAGCTTTCATTATTCCCTACTGTAGAGCATTATTGACTTCGCTCTAGCCCAAAAATGTGCGAATGCCTCCACTGTTTATCAATTGAATGGCTAATTAATAATTCAAGCTTTTCAACAGACAGAATTAAGACAAATTTAAGTAATTTCTATGACAGAAAGCTTAAATATATTTCAGTTATAAGGTGGTGAAACGAAGAACATCCTCATCTATATATTTCAGTAAATGGTCTGATGAAAACCTATTTCATACCCAGAAATTAAAAAATGCTTCAGTTGGAGCTAATGGGGATGCTGAAATAGGAGTAGCTAGCAGGGGGAAAGGTTTCACGGGTCACAATCCTGATTTTAATACAAACATGACAATAGATATAGCTGAAGGGATGAAGCCATTGCTGCATGGGAAGCCATTAATTTGGTAAAAAGATTAATTGGAAGGTGATTCAGCACTGACTATAGAGCGTCTACAACCAGCCGTTAGGGATTCTTCGTAGACACATAGCCCTTTTGGGTCATTCTCCCAAGGATAGCTATTCGGAGCAGGCGCGATCCACTAGTACTCGTCTGGGATCTTATACCTATGACACAGTTCTACTATCTCATCTTCCGACAATTCGGTCCCCCCAAATAAATCCGTCGCAGCCTCAACCTCCTCCCTTTTGCCTACCAACGCCCCATCATAGAAAACCTCGAAAGACTCTTCATTTGAGGAGTTAGACTCCTCCCTTGACCCATTACAATGAACTCTATTCTCAGCGGAACTATGAGACATGTCGAGAATGAAGTATTCACTAGGAAAACGCTAGGAGGGACTCGGAACGATAGCCACCGAACTTGGCAAAGGAAGAGAAAATAGCTCACCCACGAAAAATAGAGCTCGCCTTAGCAGGAAACTCCAAACTCTCACCATACACCTATCCTCAGAAAAATCCAAAGAGCAGTGACAAGGTGGGGACCTCGAAGGCCCCCATATTTAAAAGCTCGCAGGAAAAGAGTCAAACGGCCCAGATTTGGAAGCAATGTGACAAGAGCACGTCTCCCATGATCGAGCGGCGCCTATGCCTGACAGGCTGCTGATAGTTGCAAGCCGACGCACGCGTCGAACCTGTCAGCGCGCCAATCGCAGAAGTTTGAAAAAACGGCGCGCATTTTCTAAATTATCCCTAATTCTTATTTATCTTCTCCCCCACTTTTTATCTACATCTATCTAAAAAAAGTTTGAACTAAAAAAATTAAGAATTATTTAAATATTCTAACAAATTTATATAATAACTTTAAAATATTATTAAAAACACAAAATAATTATAATCAATTTAACAAAATTCGTATTATTAATAATTATATATTTTTACAAAAATCATCACAAAATTATGTAAAAACAATATAAATTATGATTTTCTGGATTATTCAAATAATTAAAATCTAACATTAAAAATAAAATATTATTTAAATATTTCAATAACTAAATATATTAAATAACAAAGTATTAAAATTAATATTTTAAATTAATTCATAATATATATTAAATAGTTATTGAATAACTTTCAATTATAATAAATAGATTAAGATTTTAAATATTTAGTTAAATAACTAAATGATTTAAATAACAAAATATTTAACATAACTAGATTTTAAATAGTTAAAATAACAAAATTATGTATTAATAGTACTATAATTTTATGGATTATTAAATTCAACAAGTAATTAATATTTTAAAATTTAAATAATTATATTATTTTAATAAATAAATAATATTTTAAATAACTATTTTCATTTATACCAATTAATAATTCTATAAAATAACTTTAAAAAATATTGTTTTTTAATAAAAAATTTAAAATATTAATCTTTATTTATTATATACTTATCTATACTAAAATTAATATTTATTGTATTTTAGTAATTATTTATTTTTTTTTGATAAATATATTTTCAATAATTATGTATAAATCTATTTTACTTTAGTTATTTATTGTTTTAAATTTAATTTGTGTATTTTCCCTATAAATTAATAATTATTGGAGATTAAACTATTGTTCACGGGTTGGTTCGGTTGAGTTGTAGGTTGTTTGGCCAACCAAATTG